GTGGTTTCGGAAAGCAATCCGTGCAAACAAAGCATTTCTTCGTTGGATAGATTCTTGCAGCGTCATGTCGGGGGTCACCTGGCTGGAAGCCCCCGCCCCAGCCCGCTACTATCCGGGTCTTCCAGGTCCAGGACAGCCCTGTTTCAGGTCCAGGTTTGGCCGCGACGCTCGGATGACCCGTCCGTGGACGTCCCTCAGCGGTCGCAGGCGGCAGACTTCATCATGGCCCAGCGGCCGCTGGAGGTCTCGAAAGCAGCGGCGGCTTGGACGTTGCCACGAGCCGGAGCGGTTTGGAGGGTGGCGTTGGAGTGGTCAAAAGCTCTGAAGGTGAGGAGAAAGCTAAAATTGCAGGGATGGCCAGGGATTTGGTTTTGAAATCAAGAGTTGATTCGGTGGTGATCCACTATATACTGTAGGTGTTGAAGACACCCTTCTTGCCCCCGACCGTGGATGGAAGCAACTCTGCACCACCCACAAGACTTCAAACACTGTAGAATCAATACCTTTAGCCGGGTGCTGTCACGGGCCAGGGTGCTGCCAAAGGAAAGGGGAACCTTTTTCTTTGGCTGGAGTCTATGGGAATTCTTCTGGTCGGAGGTCGAGACGCACATCGTCGTGTTTTTTGAAAATCAAACCGATCAACGGGGGGGATGGGTGGTCTGAGCACGTCGTCACCAACGATATACATATTTTCAATTTGAGCAAGCAAGCCAGTCTTTTTGGTTCGTTGCTATGTGTACAGAAGGCGACTTACTTTCGCTGTTCCTTGGTGCCCTGCTCTGAGCATCGTGGTGTTTTCCTTGCTCATCTTGAACTCAGTTCGTTGGTGATGCCATGCTCTGCCATTCGACCAAGGGAACCATGAGACGTTTAGGCGTAAAAATGAGTCGGTATGATGTGTGCATAGCTCAAGGCAACCCGGCAACCCTCATGCCTTTGCGAATTGCAGCTCCTGGCCCAGCTGATTTTCCCCAACTCTGCGACCCATGTGGCATGTGGTCGATGGTGCCTTCATGGGTTGCAGCTCTTGGGCGAAGCGAAGCGACCCAGACGTCGTCCGTTTCGTCCGTTGCAGCTCTTGGGTAACTGGAGAAGCCCAACTAAGCTGGTTCCGCGATGTTCCGGGAGGGTGGAAGCATTCCCGGTGATGTTTTTTGGGTCCTGTCTGTCGTTTTTCCCCAAAGCCTTCCGCCCCAACTCCGATCCACCGATGTGAGGCCAAGGACCTGGGCGACCAGCTGCATTTGGAGAGCTTGGCCGAGGACTTGCAGACCTTTGGCTCCGACCGAACAGGATCCACTCCGACCGAAGCGGTGTGTGAGACGGTGCCACCGGAGGATGACTCGAAAGGTGCGAAGAGGTGTCTGTTTTGCTTTGAAAAGGGATCGGTCTGATCGGGTCATAGGTCCTGTGTCGTGAGGTTAGCAATGGGCGAAACCATGGGATGCAAGCAATTGGGACGACTCTTGATCGTACCCCCACATGTCCGACGCGGAATGCCGGCGGCGACATGCTCGTGGATCGGATCGCCGGCGTGGTGTGAAGAGGTTTTGCAATACTGCCGGTGTGACCTGTGTCCACGGTGGCGTTTGACCCTTTGAGAAAACGGGATTCGTTCGTGGATAGGAAGGCGAGTGTGGTAGAAGAGAGTTTTACAATACCAATCAAGAGTCTAGATCATTCCCATGTACCACCCGACGCCCACGCGACGCCGAAAATGGATGTTTTGAACCCCAACATCTAGAACCTTCCCTGGAGTAGAATATGAAGCAATCCAAGAACATCATGAGCCGTTTTCCCATTGGGTTTTTGGGATTTTACCCATAGTCTATGTACTCCAGGAGGGAGGTGTCAAATGAGCATCCTGCCGCTCTCTTCTGTCGCGGAAGGCTGAGGCCATTTACTCACCCAAGGCATCACCTGCAAATCGGACCTCTGAATCCATGGGCTCGGGGACCCCCATGTTTCCATGGTCATCTCATCGAGGTTTCAGAAAGTTGGTTGACTCCAGCGGCCCTGTCTTGTTTGCCGGAGTCCTTGCATACCCAACATTGCCACAGTGCAGGAATTTGAGTTCCCGGGAGCTAGACTCCTGATGTCTCACTGGATGGCACATTCTGCTGTCAGTGTGTACTTCAAGAGTCCTAAAACAGTGGCTTCCGGATCCTCAACAGGGCCACAACATATCTATTTAGATCAATCACCATCAAAGCAACTATTTTGGGTCAAGATCCCTGTGAACTGACACTCCAAAAAGGCCAGAACGAAAATCCACGTTTTCGGCCGTTCGATCGCCGCTCTTGGGCACCCCGACCGGAAGCGACGGCGCTGAAGCAGCGCCCCCCCCGGCCCTGCCGTCCGTGCCTAAGGAAGTACGAGGGCGAGTGGACCCCGGAAGCACTCGAGGTCTACATCAAAGGCGGAATTCATGACGTCCCTTCTTTTTTTTCCCGGCGGTGTCGTTGTTTCGCTCTTTTTTCGCTCAAAAATGTGTAGCTGTTCTTTTCAAGTAAGTTGACCTCCCTCCCAACCCAGTTAAATGGCAAGTCGTTAAGATGGGCAATTGGTTAACTAATTCCAAATTTTAGTTAGTGCCTTATTGGGCTAATGAGTTCCATTTGCAGTTCACCCTTGGTCCATGAGACATGGACCATTCCGCGGTGGCGACCTCTTGCGCCGCCCTCCGCGGAGGCCTGGTGGTGGCCAAAGAGATGAAGCTGGGCGCCTTTGCCAAGCCCATCCGGGCGGCGCCGCTCGGCTGAGGAGTGGTGAATGGGACGGGTGGCTTTGGAATGGAGGCCTGCTGGGTCTGGGACTAGGCCAATTGATGGCTAGCTGTTGGGGGTGGATCTTTGGGAATGATACATGGTTTTACCATTTTTGGGCCATGTTTTTTGGAGATGTGCGGCGTTGACTCTGGGACCTGGCAATGCAGAGACCTTGGACACCTTGGAGATCGGTGAACGGAATCCCCAGGCCTCGTAGACCTGGAACACGTTGCCAAACGCCGATTCTCCCCGATGAACCAGCCGCCGATGAACCAAACTCTCAAGCAAACCCCTATCCGACGCCCTCACAACTCTTTCAAACACCCTATCCGACCCATGATCACCAAGCCAAAACAGGTCAATGAGATCGAACAAAGAAAAGATACACTCACCATCTGCCGCCTAAAAAGACCCATCAACTCAAAATATATATAGTATTCCCGATCCACAAATAGATCGTGGCGCGGTTTCCAACGCATCTTCTAAGTGTTGATCTTTGTTCATTTCCGTTTCGATCCCTTTGGGACCCCCAAGCCACTCGGACTGACCCAACGCCACTCCGCCGGCCTTTCAGGCTCACAGGCTCCACTGCTTCACCAGGCCTCTTCGAGGTGATCTGGGCCATCGGCCACCAGGAAGCGGTGGCGCGCTTGAGGCGAAGCAAGAAGACGACAGGGGTGGAGAAGCTGGAGAGGTACCGAAAAAAGACATGCCTTTAAAACCATGTTTATTTTAATGTCTAAGTATCATATGGTTTCGACTTCATTAAACATATTGACCTGGTTTGTTGGATCTACCACCTATGAATGAAATCTGGGACACCCTCCTCTCTCCCGCTTTTTTCATGGCTTTGACCCCTGCAGGGATGCGGCCGCCGGAAAGTTCAAGGCTAAGGGGTGGCGTTCTCGTCTCGGAGTCTTCTGGTGAAAAACGGGGGGCGTGGAACTTAGACGAGATTTGTTTAAGACAGTAGGTTGGAGGCCATTCATATTTAGGTTGGAGGCCTTCGCTAGTAGGTTGCGGAAGGAAGAAAAAACAGAAAGCTCCGGTGGGGAAGCCAGCGAAGACTTGATGGATTTCTGGAATGGATTGACTCCTTTGAGATACACAGATGGTTCAGTCAGTGTGGGGCATGGGGAAATTCGAAAAGGACTTGCATTCAGAGTTCGGAGTTCAGTGTTCAAAGGCCTGTTCAGGCAGCCATTTGGGATGATGCTGAGCTGAAGGAAAGACTGACGTCAAAACAGGTCTCCTGTCTCATTTGCAGTGTTGCACTTTGCCTTAAGAATCTAAGAAGGATGGCAGCAGTGCTTGGAACGCTTTGGACCTGTGCAACCCCCATGCAAATATGATACACATACATATAATTATGAGATGATATAATACAATATAATCTAGTAATGTAATATAACATAATATAATATACTATATATAATAAACAATATTATACTGATCACCTTCAAAGATGTAGCCTGGAGCGCTTTTCTCTATTTGGGTGACCTGCATCCCTTGGACCCAACATCCCTTGGACCATCCGCCACTCCACTCCGTTGACCTTCTTTGCGCCCACTGGAGAGGTGGCTGAGTGAGGGCCGCGGCCCGTTTCGACAGCCGGAGCAGATGACCGTTCCCAGCCTTAGACATGTTCAACATCAGCATGGCAATACATGCGTGGAGCAGTTTCTGAGGGGCAAACCTCTCCCAAATAAGATGACGGGCAGGGAGAATTGGCCTGGCAGGCAGGACCCATCAATAGATGCATTCTTTTTCTGTTGAGCGGTATGTTAGCATTGTTTTTTCCTTTATAACGTGCCATTTGGACTTAGGATGTCCTATAGAGCTTGAGCGGAGGGCACGGCAAGCCAGAGTCTTGGAGGATGAAGTTGGAGATGTTCCTTGCAGCTTGCATGATGGTTTCATTCGGAGGAAAAGAGGTTTAGATCCCAATCCACTTTCTTTCCGTAGTTTCGTGCTCTGATAAAGCCCCAATCTGTGGGAAAATGTGGGTAGATCTTCCATCTTGCCACTGCTTAAGCACATGTATCACGGCTGGGCCCATTGAGTCTGCCGTGCTCCGACCGGTCATCACAAGCCTCCGCGGCGTTCACCGCGCCAACGCGCGCCCCTCTTTGGACAGGAAAAGGAGCCGAACGACGCCGGGTCGCGGGAGGTGTCCCGCGGGCCGTCGCGGGCCAGTGGCGGTCGACGGTGTCCTTTCTCGTCGGCGCTGAGGCCGGCATCTCGTCCGACATCTCGTGCCGCGGTTGGAGCGAGCGGGGTTGGAACGGCGAGCGGGTTTGGGTGGAGGATGCAATCGTGCTGCGGTGGTAGAACCGTATAGGGTGGAGGCTTGCCGTTGATTCGGACACCTGTTACCTAACTATAGTGGTTTGTAGGGAACTGGCGGAGGTTGACACCTTGAAAGACCCTTTCATGAGTCAGCAATCCCCTGAGTAGAGGGCTTTAGGGTCGGTATAGACTGGTATACGGCATATGAATGCATTGTATGATCTCAATGCTTGTGGACGATTTCTATCCACCTTGAGGTACTACCTGAACTCGCACCATGTGGACTTCCACGTGCGCCCACCGTTCTGGCTGGGGTGTCAGTTGGGTCCTTCCTTTCTTCGAGTCCAGGGAAGGATGGAGCTCAAGAGCGATACGAATTGACTAGATGGGAAGATGAGGATGAAGCCGATGACCAGATGGGAAGAGTTTTTGATTAGACATGGCAGAAGTCCTTATGAACCTTGGAGACTTGTTGGTTTCGAATGGTTGATTGGACGACTTGGATGGGCTCCATTGGGCATGGCCCACGGCCTGGTGGCGTTCCGGATGGCCAGAGACATCCATGCGAGGTATCGGGCCCGAGATCGGAAGAGCATTTGCATGGAAGTGGATGGCTCCAGTTTCTGTTTTATTTTTTCAATGAGGAGAATGAGGAGAAGCTCCAGTGGATGGCATGTCAGACATATAGTTTTTATTAACATATTAACTATATTAACGATTGTTAATGGCATTTTGTTTTTACTATATGTTTTACTCTTCTCTCTTCTCCAGGGAGCCATTCGGACCGACTTCCGGCTCGTGGCTCCGGCTCTTTCGGTGGTATGCGACTCCGTCTGACTGAGGTCACGTAACGGGCCCCGTATTCACAACGGTCACGGACTCCAAAGAGGTCAACTGAAAGGTGGATGATGGATTCTTTTTGGGAAAGGTCCTGGGATTCCAAGATGCTCTTTCTACTGGATGGCCAACTGCTGTAGAAAAACAAACTGAATCAGATCCTTCAGGGCCTTGCTGGTCCCATGACGATTCCGGGCCGGCCTTTGGCAGCAACACTTGGTGAACCTGGAGTTTCTAGCTGGTGCTCCAGCTCTTTCTGGAACTAGGCTGGATGAAACCGCCTCGCTTCCAGCGCTTCGATGCAAGGCCTTCCCTCCACCCGTCCGCGTAGGCCTACCGTCCGAGCTCAGCTCCGCGCCAGGTTTGGGCCATGCAGGGCATCGCCAAACCCGTCAGCGTCTACGCCACCGCGCTCCTTGGGCACAGAGCGGCCACGAGGGGCGCCGGAGCGACTGGGGCCACGAGGGGGAGAGGTCCGACATCGGCCGGCACGCCGAGTCTCGGCATGTGAGCTGTAAGCATGCGTTCACTCACTTAAGGATAGACTCTTGATCAATCAAAGCCATCCATTTGGATTGAAACAGCTCTTTTTATGTTATTGTTATTGTTTTTAAACATGAATCAACAGTCTACATGAGGTCTTGTGACCACCCTTGTGGCATTTGTGGGGTCTGATCGGATCCTTTTAAACGGACACTCTGAGATTCCGTGTTTCAATGATCACTCAGACTGGAGTTCTCAGATGAGGTTCACACAATGACCGGATGCAGATTCAGGTGAAATACGCTGGTGTTCAGCGGCTGATTCTTTCTCCCAGACCATCCCAGACCTCGACTCTACCTAAACAGAGGGCTCCCTTGTTCTTGTTCTAGTGCTTCAATCATTTGCTAATAATCAATAGGATGCTTTTTGGTGAGAATTTAGGGACCCGTTCTTGTTCTGTTGTAGAACCAACAGGCAAGTGCCAGAAAAACGCTGGCTTGTCGGGGACACAGGCCCGGGACCTCCACGGGACCTCCACGGTCCGCCGAACACACGGAGAGCTCCGCCGCCGAACAGCGAGACGCCGCTGTGCCGTGCTGTCGGTGCACCAAACGGCGAGGTCCACGGGCGTGGCGGAGAAGATCCTGGGCCGGAGCTGCGAGGCGCGGGTAGCGGCGCGGCGCGGCGCGGCGCGGGTTGCGGGTTGCGGAAGATGGCTTGAAGTCCACAGCAAGGGGGGCGAGAGCGAGATCAAGTGGGTGGTGCTTGTAACCTTTTAACTCTTGGGAGGTGGCTTTTTCGTGAAGTTGAAGTTGAAGAACAGTGACAGTCTTCCAAAAGAGTGCAATCCAGTCGTCCGCAAGTGTCTTCCTTCCAGAGATGGACATGTTTTGGTCCCGAGAAGATGTACTGACCAAATTATAAGGGTTTCTCACTCACACGTCAGGGTGGATCATGTGGCATTCTGGCAAGATGATTGACCAAACCACCATTACCTTGTGGCACCCCTTATGGTTTCACACTTCCCACCAACTCCGACCTTCTGGTCGCCGCAACTCATGGCCTCGTTTCTGGAGGATACCATCACCTTGACGGTGACGTGGAAAAATAGCACTGGGCAGGGGTGCTCAGTACCCAGCCTCTGCTGATCTACTGTTGATGGAAGCCGACCTGCTCTACCCGCGTTAAAACAGCAACTCCGTGCATAGTGGGACATCCAGAATATCCATGAAATTCGAGCACTTTCTTCAGCGGCAGGGACTTGAGGGGCACCGATGGACCATCGGGCACTTCGAGGATTTGCTGGATTTTGACGCTTTCCTCGACTGAACTGGAGTCCCCTCAGGGTCATTGAACTTTATTTTCCTTTGGTGAATCTGGGAGTCCTGTTGCAGATCAGCCCCTCTGTTTGTATGTATTTGTTGATTTGGAGGGTGCCCCGACTGAACAGTGTCCTTTTGGCTTTATCTGGTTGAGAAGCACACACGCAGCCATTGGCATTGGTCAGACATCTTAGAGGCTATGTGGGGGTAAAGAAGCTCGTGGTTTGGTAAGAACCTGTTCAGGCAGGCAGGAAAGCATCAAGACTACATCATCCCCTCGCCGACCTCCCCGGGCCGAGCCCGTCGCAGTCCCCCGTGGCGTCCTCGGGGCCGACGACGGTACCCCCACCGTTGTCCCCAAGGACGAGCAAGGGGGGGCTCCATCTAAACCCCACAAGGGGTGGTAAAGGGGTGTCACCCCTGTTGCCCCCTTCCCTTTCCCCCAAGGATGGTGAGGTTCCTCCGCAAAACCCGTAGCTTCGGCTCCTTGGGTCGATCCCCAGCACACCGCCACGTCCGACTCCGTGGGCTCCCCAGGTCTTCGGGACATGCCACCTACACGTCCTCTTGGACCGCCAGCAAGGCGCAAATCCGTCTGGTCTGGGTTGCTACGAGCCTCGGAACAGGCCGAAGCCGAAGCTACGCCTGAAGCGGTGCGAGGCGGAAGCCCCCGCAAGGCTTTCGCTGAACCCGTTGAAGGAGGGTTGAGGAACCGGTTTCGGACTGATGTAAAGACAAAAACACCAACCAACACCAACCAACCACATTTTCTTATTTCTTTTTGAACTCTTTGCTTTTTCTTAGGTTGGTTTGAAAGAACCATCCCACCTCATCCCCACATCATCACCGGAGAGAGTGTGATTGGACTTCTCTGCGCAGAAAACCTGGCCGAGCTAGCGAAACCCATTCCGTATGCGAAACCCATTCCTTGGATGGTTATGAAAGGGTGGACTAATCTCCGCCCCTTTTTCATTTAATGCTGGTGGGTTGGGAATGAAATTGACTATATAACAGGGCAGACGTTTGGGCATTCCACTCAGCGACGGTGGCAGACATGAAGAGCCCCTGCGTCAATGACCAGCCCTACTTCTTCAGAGAAGTTCCACACTTCTTTCCTCACTCAAGCAGATCGGTCCTTCTTCAAGATCTAAGCTTACCACGCCATGCTCCTTGCTCTTCAGAGACTTGCCAGATCCATCCATCCCCACCCCTCCAGTCTGTCGACGTTACCCACTCCCGGATTACCGTCCGTCGCGCGTGAACCGAGCGCGTACCGTGAAGCGCGGGAGAGCGCACCGTACCGCGGCCAGTCCGACGTGCACTCACAGCAGCGGTTCTTCTGTCAGATGGAGCGGGCGGAAGTGACTGTCGACCAGGTCAGGGAGCGACTCCGGATGTCGAGTCGAGTCGACCCGAAGCCGAAGCGCTTAGGACCTGCACGGGCGGCTGGTACCCTTCGTTTTTGTTGGACTCAACGGTAGCTTTTTGTTTGGCTGGGTACCGGTAGCACGGCTGGTACCTACATAAAACTAACAGGTTATGTTCTGTTGGGTCTATGAGTTTTGTGTTTTTGTGGTCGAAACTGAGCCACCCCAAGCCACGACGTCGTAGCGACAGACTGCTGAGCCGATGTTTGAGCAACACAGAGCAAAGATGTCGGACCAAGTGATCCACACTTCCGGAGATGTCATTTTCCTGGCCTTGGTAGTGCCCAACCGGTTGGTTGACAGAGGGGATCTCTCCAAGTGTACAAGCAATTCCCAGACACGACTAATGGGACAGCCATATATGCCGATCATTGGGGTGGTGCCAGGGGGGTTAATTGATCGGCATATATGGCATACATGGAGCCAACAGAGCTTGAAGGACCTTATAGACTATCCCAGTTCGGTACCCCAGTAAGGTCCTATAAGGTCACTTAACCTCTCTTGGAGTGTCTGGGAATTGGTAGGTACCAAATCGACCATTCTATTCCCTCGAATCACTTCTCCATGATCCCACCTTCGGAGCAGCTGGATTTCCCCAGCCGGACCCAGCCCAAGGGTAAAACATTATGGATAAGAGGTGACCTGCTAGTTGCACTGTATATGACGAAAGCACTAACCTTCATATTCCAGTAGTTCGATGACTACAGCCGATGACTACAGCAATCACCTGTATTCCGCAGGGGTGACATGCCAGTGACCACCTGCATGACCCGGGTATCTGGAGTGAGGACCCAAGGTTGCTCAGTCCAAGAAGCCTGGTCGGGGTTGGGGTAGCCCGAAATGACCTCCTTCGTCCGACATGTCATTATTTACAGCCTTCGGCATGCCGCCGGCCATCAGCTCGAGCCCGCACGGCTGGTCGCCATGGCCCGGGCGTGTGTAGCTGTGTGTAGCTATTGTGTTTTTTTGTGTGCAGGTTATGCAAAGGTTAGCTAACAGAGTGTACAATATCAAAGTGCGTGAAAACAAGGGGTTTGTGCGCGACAGGACTTGGAACATGCACGCTGGCTGGAGATGTTTGTGTCAATGAGGTGCGGCGTCAAAACGAAGTAGTGTAAGAGCCATGTAAGTGGAGAGCAACTGGCCAAAAACAAAAGCTGCGCTGGTGTAAAAGCGAGTGGGCAGCGAACAGTACTTGCAGAGAGCGCGTGTGTAACACAGAGCTTCTGCAAAAGCGACATGTAAGCGAGAAAAAAATAGCGAGGAAATGGTTGCAAGGGGCTTGTGCGCGACATGACTTGGAAGGTGCACAGGTTGCGGTGTCAGAACGAAGTCGTGTAAGAGCCATTGCCTAGAATAACGCCGTGACAGTGTAAGCGATATAGAACCCAATTGGCAGCGAGTTCCCGCAAAACGCATGGAAAAACCAAGGTTGTTATACGTTTTTCTACACACGCGCGACTGTGCGCCAATGCATGGCCTGCTTGAAAAAGACGAAGAGGGGGAAGAGAAGAGAAGGAGAACGAGAACGAAAAGAGAAGAGAAGCGAAGACAAGAGACGAGACAAGGCGACAAGACAAGACAAGGCGAGAGGGGGGTAGGAGCGCCTCAACATTAAAAGACGAAAAATGAGTTGAGAAGATGATTTTCATTACTAAAAGTACGAGCACCTCAACATGAAAAGAAGAAAATGAGTTGGGAAGATGATTTTCTTTACTAAAAGTACGAGCACCTCAACATTAAAAGAAGAAAACTGAGTTGGGAAGATGATTTTCTTTACTAAAAGTACGAGCACCTCAACATTAAAAGAAGAAAAATGAGTTGGGAAGATGATTTTCATTACTACAAGTAGGAGCGCCTCAACATTAAAAGACGAAAAATGAGTTGGGAAAATGATTTTAATTACTAAAAGTACGAGCACCTCAACATGAAAAGAAGAAAATGAGTTGGGAAGATGATTTTCATTACTAAAAGTACGAGCACCTCAACATTAAAAGAAGAAAAATGAGTTGGGAAGATGATTTTCTTTATTAAAAGCACGAGCACCTCAACATTAAAAGAAAAAA